TCCCTTTTGTCTTTGCCCCTGGTGGTGTGCTCTTATCCCTGTTTTGACGTTTGGTACCCCTTTGTATGTGACAACATAGCTGTTTATTGGGCTATCTTGTCAATCTGATCACCAAAATGGCCTGTAGGGTTTTTTAATCACCCCCAATCCCTGCTGGGAAGTTCACCCCAGAATACCCCAAAGATTGTTTTTAAAAATTCCTCAATTAAGTTGACCAGCTGAGGGTGCAGCATGAGTGGACTGTGATGGGGAGAGTGATAGTAGTAGAGAAAGATTTGACTTTTCCAGAGATGCTAGTGTGAAAGTGTTAATTTGGGTATTTGAAACATTTATCTTGGGTGCCTAAATCACTTCTGAAAATGTTCCCTGTTTATCTCAAGTGCTACAATATGCCTTTGAGACTGTACCTGTGTTTGTTTTCCTACTTATTTTGTTATTGGGAAGAAATTGGTAGCAGTAAGTAAAATAGACTTTATCTCTGGAGTTGAGTGCCAGTAATGATGATCTACTTAATCACAGAATATGCAAGCATTAGAAAATAAACAAAACAACAAAAAAACCTCATCCTACAAACCTTTCCTCTTCCCTTTTTTCTGCAAGGATGTTGCAAGGATGTTCCTTGTGCTGCATTTGTTTTTATCTGACTAATTAAGGAAATTTCTAATGATTCCAAGAGTCCAGATTACTGTTTTCAGGGATGAGTTTTAAGTGTATATTCTTCCTTGAAGTACTAAAACAAACCAATGGCTCCAAAACATATGAGTTCATCATAGTTTTTATTCCCATATAATATTCTAAGGTAGCTTTAACTTTTCAATGCCTAAATGATATTGACTAGTTTCTAACAGGTGCACGTTTCTGAGGAGTCAAACATCGCTAGGCAAATTGAAGCTCATTCTTTGAGCGGTCCATCTTGCTAATTTATATCTTCTTTTGTTCTCGGGTGGTATATGCAAACATTAAATCAGTGGGGTTGGTTCAATTGCTTGTGGTTAAAATAATGGCTGTTTAATTGAGAAGGACCCAAGGAATTATTTAGACTAAGCCTGCTGCTGTGTCCTTAAGAGTTAAGATAAATTTTTCTAGTTGAAGAGCACTTTCAGTTTGTGTCTGATCTTTTCTCCATATTCTGTAAGAAAAGAATGCTAAACAAATATTTATGAATGACCTTACTCAAAATTGTTGGGGAAAGAAACTTTGTGTACCCACAACTACTTGGTCATAAATTATTCAGGTTAACCTTTTCAGCCACTTGAAGATATTTATTATGTGCTGTCTGGAAACTTCCTATTTTTCCCTCTCTTCCCCACGAGTGCTGAGGGAGCTGGCGGATATTATCGCTAGGCCACTCTCCATCATCTTTGAAAGGTCCTGGAGAACAGGAGAGGTGCCTGAGGACTGGAAGAAGCCAATGTCACCCCAGTCTTCAAAAAGGGCAAGAAGGAGCCAGGAAACTGTAGGCCTGTCAGCCTCACCTCCATCCCTGGAAAGGTGATGGAACAGCTCCTCCTGGAGGTCCTCACTAAGCATCTGGAGGACCAGAAGGTGATGAGTAGTCAGCATGGATTCACCAAAGGGAAATCATGCTTGACCAATCTGA